ATAATTTTTTTTCATTTAATTTTATTTCATATCAAAATATAAACAATCTCTTCTATTTTATAAATCGCTGTTGTTCACAAAATATTCAAATCATGTTGCCACTTAAACCACCACCACCACTACCACCAACAATTATTGATATTTGATTGATTGAATGAATGATTGATATTTGTTTAAATTGTCAATATTTAATTATCGAACAAAAAAATGAAACAAAAATCAAATCGAATCGAAAAAACAAATATAGTCATCAAAACGTCTTGAAAATAACATTGCCAAGAAATTGAAAGTATATTCTGGACAAGTATTGCCCACTTTGAAACGTGGTGATGTTGCTAGATATTTCCCATCTGCAGGTAATAAAAATCATTTAATTATAACTTTATTATTTATAATTTCTTATATATTTGTGTTTAAAACTATTACTTATGTCTGTTTAATAATTAAAAATTGCTACATATTATTACAAATTGTTTTTTGTATTTCAATACAAATTTTAAACATTTGTAATTATTAGTATTAGAACTTTTAGTTATTGAACAGGCCTATTATTATCTCTTTGCTTTATACTAACTTTCTTAAATATTATGGGTTTTAATTATTATTCAGTTTTTCTAATATTCACACTAAACTATTTCTATATCACGCTTTTAATTGTGGCTTAATATGGGTTTTTAACTATTTTATATTTGATTTAATTGTTTATAATTTTTCTTTGCGTTTTTTGTTGGCTTCAAATTTGCTTTAATGTTATTTTTTATTGCTTTTATTTTATACATAATTTTTGGCAGAATTTTTGTGTAGAATTTATAACTGACCTTTTTAAAAAAATATCCACAACTTTTGATGAGCATTTTTATACAAACAATTCAAAGAGGAAAGAAAATTAAATGCGATTTTTATTAGTCCATCTAATCTTCTGTAAGATACTGTGTTTTTAATTTATTTTATATGTAACATTCCAGTTTTAAGTCCAGTTTCAAGTTGGAAGTTATGTCAAGAAAATTTATGACAAAACAAATTTTTCCAACGCTAGATAATTTCTTAATGCTTCGGTTTTTGATAAGAGCTCAGTCTTTCTCTCATGTAAAAATTAATTTTCTTTTTTATTAAAAGATGAATTTTTGATTAAATGTTTGGCAAAAAGTGAAATTTTCTTTGAAAAGTCGAAATATTGATTAGAATTGAAAGTCGAATTTTTGATAAATAATCGGATTTTAAAAGAAAATAAGAATTTTCTATTAAAAAAGTAGATTTTTTCAAAAACATTTCAGTTAAAGAAAATAAGGAAAATGTAGTACGCAACATAGAAGGTCTACACTACATTTCTTCCATTCTCAAAATATAGATTTAAAATTGTTCTTCGTTTTATAGAATCGGGCTTAATAGTTTAACTCCTCTTCGCTTTAATTTTATTAATATATATCTATACAATTTTAAACAAAACAATCTTCTTGTCTTTTAATAGGAATAAACATAATTTTATCATTGTCTTGCTATATTTCATTCCTTTTATATTTTCCTACATTTTTTAAATTTTTTGTTATCTAGCAAAGCATGAATATTAAAATACTTTAAATCCTTTAAAATATATATTTTTTTTTTTTCAAATGAACTAAGTGGCAAATCTTTTTTGTTGTAGTTTTTTTATATTCTAATATCCTTAAGTGTATTAAATTGCCAGCTCATGTGTATGTAAGTGTAATTCTAATTCAAGTGTTGGTTTAACAACAAAAAATAATAAAAACGTATACGAAATACATACATACATACATTCATATATTTTGTAAATATAATAAAAAAAACAACATTTTAATAGTTAGAGCGCACTATTTAATTGTTTTCAATGTATCATCTTAATCTGCCACCATCATCATATACATCCATGCATTTAAATTAACAAATTCATACATACTTAATATAAGCGATAATTATGTACATCATAATTAAGAAAATGAAATTTTATGAACAAAATACATCATTATTTTCTGTGGTACATTAACACTTTTGTATTTCTAGATGAACGTATCATTGAATACGATATTGATTCTTTGGTTTATGAGGCTCGTTCACCATTCCAAAAGATCCAAATTCTACACTCGAAAACCTTGGGCAACATGTTGATTTTGGATGAGTTGCAAAGTAAGTATGAATGCAATTTCTGTTTGGAGGAATAGTTTGCATATTTTCTATTTTTTATTCCTTCCAGATATTGCTGAATCCGACTTAATCTACACCGAAACCCTAATGGGTCGTGGCGTTGAAAACTATGAAGGCAAAGAAATTTGCATTTTAGGTGGCGGCGATGGAGCTCTTCTCTATGAGTTGCTCAAAGAGAAACCAAAATTTGTTGTTATGCTTGAAATTGATGAATTGGTGATGCAGGCCTGCAACAAGTATTTAAACAGTATTTGTGGTGATGTTTTGGAGAAACGCAAGGGCGACAACTATGAGATTATTGTCGGCGATTGTGTTGAATACATGAAGAAGTTCATTGGCGAAGGTCGTAAATTCGATTACGTTTTTGGTGATTTGACCGATATACCCATATCAGGTGCCCCCATTGGTGAATGTTGGGATTTTATACGCACAATTTTGGAACATTCGTTTAAAATCTTGAAGCCAGATGGTAAATATTTAACCCATGGCAATGGTACCAGCTGTTTGGAGTCGTTGGAATTGTTTGAAGAACAATTGGGTCTCTTGAAACCCAAAGTTAAGTTTACCACCTCGAAGGCATTTGTGCCCTCGTTTATGGAAGAATGGCTTTTCTATCAAGTTTCCTTGGCTTGACGAGGTAATGGTCTGACAAAGGCTAATTTGCAGCGACGACTAAACTTACAACAACAGCAACAACATATTTTACCAATGAAAAAGGCTTCCTTTGAACACGAACGTATCATCCACCCTAAGAGCTTTTCAACTGACAAAGAATGTCTTTTGAACATTCATCAAACTTCCAATAAACGTTTCCTCTATCACACATCAGTATCTTAGTCACTTTGTTTTTGGTTAAATCAACTTGCCGCCACTTCTTCTACTTCATTTTCTATTCATTTCAACAATAACAAAAACCATACCAAATATTTAAGACCAACATTTAATTATTTTAAGTTAGCATTTAGTTAACTTAAGTTTTATTCTGTTACCCGCCCTAATTTTTCATAAAAAAAGTTGTATAAGCGCATAAAATCATGTGACTTGTGTTAATTTTCAAAAAAGAATAAATTAAAATTTTGTTTTTAGGTTTTAGTTCCTTTAGTTAAAAATTAAAGAAACATTAAAAAAGTAAGTAAAAATGATGATAAAAAGGAGTTGTTAATATTTATTTATATTTTTTGGTTGCAATGCAATTTATTTATATTGTTAGATTTTCTTTTTTTTTTAGTTTGTCTCAGTAGCTGTGTGTACTTATTTACCATATAACATATTATTAATGATTAATTTTCTGTGTTCCTGTTAGTGGAAAAAAATTACAAATTAAATTTACTTTTTAAACTTACTGTGTTTTAATCGCTTTTAAGTCATATTAAACAAAAATTGTGAAACAATATTTAAGAATACAATACAATAATTAAATAAAATAGTCGTACGCAAAAAAGTATTTTGTTTTTCTTTTAGAATTGTTATAAGGTGTTTATAACTGTAATGAAAGTGAATAAAATTGAAAATTCGATTTTTATTAGAAATCAATTAAAAAAAATGCAAATCTTTTTATTTGAATATCGTTTTGCTGTGATATTCATACATTATTTCTGAAAGATTTCTAGGTTGGAAACTTCAAATACATAGTTGGTTAATTCTAATCTCGACTTTTATTTCAGCCATTTCTTTTTTAAGAAAGTTTGTATAATACTGGCAGACCAGTATTTATTTTATGATGAAAAAGATGTAAAAAAATTCGTTCAAATTTCCAAAACATTTGAATTTCTCTAGTCAATTGTTGAACCTATTTTCTAACCATCTAAATATGGGACTCTGTATTCTGGGAAAAAGGCATATCATTCCTTCGTCTATAATAATCTCTTTTTTATTGCTGAACCCTGTTATATTGCATTGCAAAGCCCAAAAAAACTGTCAGTTAGTAAGAGTGATTTCACCGCCAATAACTGTAGAGTGTTTCGTAAGTCGATGACCAACCATTCCACTAAACAAGGTGGATTTTTCAAATTCACCACCAAATACAACGTGCTACTCACTACTACAGAAACAACCAATCCAAATACACGCTTTGTATCTGTGAGTCCAAAGAGAACGAAAAAACAAGTAAGAAATTATAATCGGACATGGCCGGCCATAAAATACCCTACACCAGTTAAGAGAATAGAGTTTATTTTTCATAATAAAGCATTTAAGCAAAATGGCTCTGATATATTTAAACAATTTATTGATGAAAAACTAATTTTCTGAAATTGGCTTTATATCGGGACTGGGGGATATGTGGACCAATCCCCATAAAATTTGGTAGATGAATTTACATTTACATAAAATGTATTTATCCTGAATTTGATAGTGACATTAGCCCTTTTATGCGAATTGTGGACATGTAACTTATTATTCGGCAGGATCATCAACGCAAGTATAAAACAACGCAAGTATAAAACTTAGCTTTTTGTCGAGATACGAGTATGTATATTAAACATAATTATGTGCTGAAAAGCCCTATTCGTGAGTTTCAGTTGTATGGTGGCTACGTGAAATAATGGACCGATATTAACTATTTTCAATAGTCTTCATCCCTGGAACAATAGATCATGTTGCAAATTTCATTGAATTGTCTTCAAAATTGCGATTACAAGGCTTAAATGGACGGACATAGCTAAATCGACTCAGAAAATGATTCTAAGCCGATTGGTATACTTTAGGATAAATATTCTTGTGCGTTACAAACATCAGCGCATACCCAATTACCCTCCTCACTAAAGTGATGTAGGGTATAATAATCAACAGAGAAACAAATCTTTAGCATGTGAATTCGTAGAAAAAATGAGGGAAAGTTGCTGATAAAAAAACGGCAGGCAGGTAGTGGAACTGTTGGGTATTTTCTATCATTTTAATACAAACACTAATCGCCAGCACGCATTCATTCAATAAACAATTTTTGTAAGAGAACTCTCAAAAAAACTAAAGTATTCAGTAGACCAACGCGACCAGAGTACGTTCATTAAAAACACGCGAAAAGCAAAAGTAGACTGTCAGAGGAACGGGTGTGCGAAGCAGAGAGTCGGAACAAGCGTAAAAGTGCACAAAATACAAAAACAAGAAACATAAAAAGCTGAAACTAAAATTTTATTACTTAATCAATATTAAAAAAAAAAGAAAAAACTAAATTAAAACTGAGTTGAAAGTATAATTTAACCATTTGCTACAGAAATCCCCACTTTTTAGCATTAACTAAATAAATCTACACAAAATGGACAAGAAATTACACAGTGGTATCCATCATCCTACTTTGCGTTTGCTGCAGGAATCCGGTTGTGAGATTACTCCCCACAATTTAATGTATCCGGTGTTTTTGGTATGTGATGATGACAGTTTCCAACCCATTGCCAGTATGCCCGGACAGGCTAGAATGGGTGTTAATGTTCTGAGAGATCATTTGACTCCTTTGGTTGCTAAGGGCTTAAGTTCTGTTTTACTTTTTGGTGTAGTCGATTGCGCAATGAAAGATGAACACGCCACACATGCCGATTCCAAAGAAAATCCTGTTGTCAAGGCCTTACCTTTGCTTAGACAATGGTTCCCTAATCTCTTAATAGCTTGCGATGTATGTCTGTGTCCCTATATGTCACATGGTCACTGCGGCATTTTGGATGAGGGCGGCCTAAAGAATGCCGAAAGCATTAAACGTTTAGCGGAAGTAGCTGTAGCATATGGCAAAGCTGGTGCCCATATAGTGGCTCCCTCCGATATGATGGATAACCGCATTAAAGCAATCAAAGAGGGACTAATTGCCAACAATTTGGAAAATCGTGTTTCCTTACTCTCCTACTCGGCGAAATTCGCTTCCAATTTCTATGGACCCTTCAGAGATGCAGCTCAGTCGGCTCCGGCTTTTGGTGATCGCAGATGTTATCAACTGCCCAGTGGCTCTAAGGGTTTGGCCATGCGTGCTGTACAACGTGATGTTGTAGAGGGAGCCGATATGTTGATGGTCAAACCAGGCATGCCTTATTTGGACATTTTAAGACAAACTAAAGACACTTACCCTAGTCATCCTTTGTACGTGTATCAAGTATCGGGTGAATATGCCATGTTATATTATGCTGCTGAACATGGTGCCTTTGATTTGAAGCAAGCTTTAATGGAATCCATGAAAGGCTTTAGACGTGCCGGAGCCGATTGCATAATCACCTATTTTACACCACAAATTTTAGACATTTTGGAAGAAGAGAAATGATGGTTGGTAAAAGTGGCAGATGAGGGGGATGATGTTAAAAAAGGTGGTTAATTAAATTTAAATTAAGTGTACTTATTAAGTTAATTAAGTTGAACTAAGACATACAAATCGCTTCACTTGTTTTGAGGAAAAAGTTAAAGTTTTTTAAAAAGGGTCCATAGAAAAATTTCTAGCATGAGTGCAATAAAACTATTTCCTTTTAGTTTAAAATTTGTTTACAAAAGTTAATTTTTCTCGTTAACTTATGTTAATGGAAATCTTGTTATTTTAAAACAATTTTAAATTTTGTTAGATTTTTTTCTTTTTGATATAAAATTGCCTATCTTAAAGTTTTAAACGACTTTTAACTTTTTTCTACAAACAAGACGAAAAAAATAACTTAATTTTATTATGCAATTTATATTTTAGACCATTAATTATAGACAATAATAAAATATACATACATACATATGTACATCTGTTTGTATGTACATTACAACCATTAACAAAATTTCGTCATCTTTTATTTTTTTTAATAAATACAAAACTATTTCACCTATTATTTGCATGTCATCGTTATAAGTTTGTATAAATTAATTGTTATACAAAAACTTAAAGGCAAAAATATAGTCTATTGTGGAATTAAACCCTAATCAGCAATTATTATCTGCAAGTGCCCAATTGTTGTATACAAATAAACGAAAAATGTTAGTGCATTATGCGATTTTGAAAATGTTATCAAAATAATTTGTTTGGAACATTGTTAAAATATTTGTGTTCTTCAAAAATGATATTTTTAGCAATAGAGTTGCGTTGCGTTAGTGTTTGTATGTGTAAATAATCTAATTTGCTAAAACTACAAATAATTTTAATTAAAATTTAATTTGTTTCAGTCACCCAGTAAACATTATTATTATTTTGATATGAGATTTTTCAATATCAATGTGTAGAGTTGTTTAAAAAATTGCATATTTTAGAATAATTACTTTAAATTTTGTATATCATCTTCAGTCTTGAAGGTTTAATCCTTATTTCGAAAATGCTTTCATTATTTAATAATTTAATACACGAATTCGTGATTGATGTAATATGTTTGTTGGGTTATATTTTGCCGCAATAGGAATTATTCAACATTTCAGCAGCTTTTTCGTGATATTATTTCTACATTTATCAAGCACATTAAATCTTTCTATAGAATTGTTTAAAAAACGTTTTTTATTACTGTTTGAATTTTTTATAAAAAGGTCTTGCACTTCATTAGCATTTGTTTGTTTAAATACATATTCATTAAATACTTTAAGGAAAGTTTGCAAATTGTTTGTGTTTTATTCGAAAACATGTCAAGAAGTATTATTTTAGTATTAAAATTTATCAGTACGTGAGTTTGAATCATGTTATAACTTTCGTTTTTTGTAAATGAATCATTTAAAAGGTTAAAGCAAATAGATACATATAGTATTTTTTAAATTATTATTAAACTTGTTAATTAGTATTAACAAGTTTAGTGAATAAATCTGCAGCTATTTAGGGACTATTGAAAATGCTTATATCATATTCGAGGACAGCTCTGCTATCTGTAAAAGTGAAATTAATTTACAAAATTCTGGAGGTCAAACCAATAAATTTCAAATTTCTAAAAATCAGTCTTATAAACGCCATCTTTAGTTTCGTAAATGATTGTTCAAAAGTCAGTTTATTTTCAAAACATACCATATGTACATACATATGTATGTATATTTTCAACTCATTTCTTCTAAAAAAAACAACACAATTTTTGTTAACTAGGTATTTTATTAGTTTTAAGTTTTGTACAAACATTAGAACAGTGTATACAATATCTAAGTGAAACTTAAGTACATACTTGGATAAAAATTGTTTTATATTAAAATAAAAAAAAAAACGAACTAAAAACATCTGTAAATAAATTGAATTTAAATGCATGCAAAATAAAGTATGTTTTTTACATAAAATTCTGAAATGTGATGCTTTATTTAAGGAATCGTTTTCATGTAAAAAAGCAAGGAGAATTAATTAAATTGTTAAAATAAACAATAAAATGGAATTTTAAATGAGACATTAATATAAAATAGAACACGTTTTACGTTCGAATTCGATTATATTCGAAAATGCAAATACTGAGATAATAAAATTAAATTCAATTTAAACACACATCTAAATGAACTTTCAATGGACAGTCTTAAATTATTAGTAATTCTTAAAACTTAAGTACAAAATATAAATAAAATTTTAAAAAAGGGGAAATACTTTGTTGCGTGCTGCTGTATGCGAAGAGTATTTAAGTTTCTTGTGTTTCTTCATTGTAGATTTTGGAATGTTCTAAAATGTCGGTATTCTGCATGGGTTCCAAATCGGTATCTGATATAATCTCTGCCAGCCATTGTTCGATTTGCACAGGATGAAATGATTCCTCATCGCCACTGCTGTGTGCTTCTAAAATGATTTTAAGATTTTCGAAATTTTTCAAAACCAAACGTCTGCCTTGTGGATCTTCTCCCAAGTACTCATTAAAACTGGTAGAAGAGTCTGCATTTTGTTGTGTAGCTTGTGAATGGACTGAGCTTGAAGTACATTTTGAGCGAACTCTTTGCTGTTGATTAATCGATTTTTTAATTTCATTCAAAAGACGATTGTAAAAGTCACAAGTCACTTCATTGGCCATCGACGAAGAGGAAGATTCGACTACGTTGTCTTGAGATTCTGGATTATTGGGATTTCTAAGTGGTTTATTTTCCATGTTGTGAGATTTTTCGGGCTTTACGTGAGATTTTTTGGATTTCGGCTTTTTGGTAGATTGAGAACGTGAACTATTGTTGCTGGAATAGTTGGATAAACTGTTGGGTGTGTTACTGTTACTGGTGGATGAGGGTGAAGTGCATTCAGTATTGGAACTAGAAGAGACCAGGGATTCCATCAAAGTCTTTGATTTTTGTGAGGACTTAGATTTAGCCTTGTTAGTAGATGATGAGGCTTCTTCCTCTTCTTCATCCTCTTGATTTGGATAGCGTACCGGTATTTGCGCCTGGACATTGTCCTCTGTTGTGCAGTTTATAGTTAAAGAGGCTATATTCCTTAAATTAATAGTGCCATTGCAATTATTAATGGTAATTTTTGGTTTAAATCTTTTTTGTTTTGTTGATTGCTGTTGAGTTTGAGAATATTTGTTGTTCGACAACAATTCCGAGTGCTGCTCCAAAGAACCTTGTTCGAGACTGGATACCACGTCGGCAATAGAAGATTCAACTTCATCGTCTAATTCTTCCAAATTTAGAGGGGGTACTGGTTGTTCTCTTTTAAGTTTAGCCTGTTTTATCAGTTCTTTGGCCTCTTTCAATGTTATATTTATAATGCTTTCATTCATAAGCTTGGCATTGTGTTCCATAAGACTTTTGTGGCGAGAAAAATCTACCACAATACTCTCTCTGCTCTCCTCATCTTCTATACCTAATTCCCCCTCTTCACCACTTTGATTTAGACCTTTGAACATGGTCTCATGATCATCGGAGGGTTTAATGTAGTCTTCGTTTTTCAAGTAAACATCCTGCAGGGCCAAGTTCAAGTTGGTCAACTGATAGCGTCCAAAGTTGCGAATGGCTGCCAGCAGCTCGTGTTCATTGTCACATAGGAATTCTATGTTAGAATCAATATCCTTCTCTCGTTTTCCGGACTGCAATTGTTGTTTTCTGGTTGTATTTATCACTTCGAGTTGTCGTAGCAACAATTTTTCACGCATCATTACAGCCGATTTTAGTTCAGCAAATTTTTCTTGTACATTTTGCTTAATCTAGGGAAAATTTTTTAATTTAAATCTTATTAAAACATAATCGAAGCCAGATTTTACTTACCTCATTAACAACATCTTGTTGTGCCATTTCTTTATCTGGTATTAATTTTTGGTAAAACGTATACAATTTGTGAAAAAATCTACTCTAATTAAAATATTTTCTTCAATACGGGCTGTTCTAATGTTATGCGTACTCTTCTACACGAATAAAATGTTCATTGTTATAGAAAAGCCTTTTTCTTTTTTCCTTCTGTTGTTTTACTTGTTATCTTATGTATGTATGTCGTTTTTCTTCACTTTTATATTGTACATATGTGGATTTTCCTTAGAATTTTCTTTTATTTTTTTTAATAAACATCTGGCTACGAATGTGTTGAACAAAACAAAAACTGAGAAAAACATTTTACTGACAAAATACAACTATGTAGTGATGATTTGTTTTATACAGTCTTTATGTTTGTATTTATACAGTTCTTTAGCGTTTTGTAAAGCTACCACATTGTTGGTATACTTAAAACTTAAAATAACGGTTCATAATTGCAATTCGGTTAATTTGAAATATTACTTCAAATTAAAAGCATTTTACTGTATGTGGAAAATGACTTTAAAGAGATAAAAAGAAAATATATACCACTAACAAAAACATGCACTGAAAAAAATTAATCATTTACAGAAAATTTTAAAAGTTAATTTACTATATTATGCAAAAACGACTATTAAAGTTATTAAAAAGGTGCTTAGTAAATCATTCTATATTAATACCCGGTTTTAAATCATAGGTAGGAACTTTGTTTTCCAAAATATGCTGTTAAAATGAGGGAATATAGAGTACATGTAAAAATATACTAAAACCTGAATTTTGTAGAATTTTGTTGAATTATCTTAAAAAATGTTAAAGTTTTAAGGGTGTTTATGTTGTCAGTCGTGTTTTCGCTTTAATGAAATTTCTCAAATGTATGTATGTATGTAAGTGCGAATTTTCGAGCAACGTTTTTAAACAATTTTGAAATTATTAAAAAGCTTAACAAAAGTTTTCACACATTACACATTTTTAGCCACACTAATGAACTAACATAATAAAAACTTGTAATGAAAAAATAATTTTATTTATTTGGAAGAAATATTATAAAATAGAACGAAGTATAATTTAATGTGGGATAACAAAAACATTTTTTTGTACTTTATACAAAATCGCATGGGTCTAATAATCGTTACGTTTATTAATATCATGTTCTTATTCATTTTACAATTAAAACGTTTATTAAGATTTCAATCAGAATTTAATTCATAAAATGCTTTTTACTTAAGTTTAATAAGAATCCAAATGAAATTCCAATTGGACTTAATGTCTTTTTCACAAAAGCTATACATCTGGCATCTTTATTCCAATTGTATTAAATGAGAACGAAAGAGCAACTAACTAAATACTCCAGACTGAACGTACCCCAACGTAACTAAAAATTCATTTAGTGTGTTGTCATTTTATTTAGTTGTGCGGTGCCGTGTTGTTAAGACGTCTGACTAATAAGTGAACGGAATAAACACTAAAATAAAGAAACAAAAAACTAAGAAAATCATTAACACAGATTAAATAATAATAGAAATTTTCATATTCTTATAAGGAAATAATGTGAGAGAAGTTTAAGTGCTGCGATGATATAAATACAAAATACTAAATAATAGTAATAAATGTAACAAATTAAAGCAATTGAAAAAGAGGAAGAAAAATAGAAGTGATTTAATAATAAAAACCGCTATGAAACAAAATAATAAATGCTCCCACTACTACTACAACTATATCGCAGCAGACATACAAACACATGCTCCTCACATACGCTCCTACATACAGTAACTTAATCAAAAACGCATGCAATCCAGCAAGCTAAAGTTTATTTTTTTTAATTCTACAACAACAAATATCTCGGTCGCGCTGAACGTAAACGTTTGACGGACGTCGCACTCGTATCTTGTTTTTTGTAGTAAACGTCGTTGTTGGTTAAAAGAAGAAACCGTAAAAACGAGTCATCATTATAAATTTTTGTTTCTGTTTTTTTTGTTAATTTTTTCGGTTTAATTTTATTGTTTAGTTATTTTTGTGTGAGATTTTTTTGTTTGTTGGTTGTGTAAAAGGTAAATCTACGAAAAATTAATTATAAAAAGAAATAACCATAAAAAATAAATTGAAATAATAGTGTTTAAAATAATTGAAATTTAGCAAAATGAGCAAAAATAAATAGTGTGTGATTAACATGCTAGAGAATTGCAATAGTAGAAGAATTTTCAAAGTGTAAAAGAAACAATTTAAAAAAATCTTTATTTTGTTAGGCCTACATTGCATTTTTCATAATTTTTATTGTGTTGCTTTTTTAAGTTTTTCCTTTTGCACATTTTTTTGTGCTTCTGCCATTTGTCATTTATAAGTTCGTTCGTTTTATTTTGTTGTTGTTGTTTTGTGATTTTTTTTAATTTTATATAAACGTGTGCTCATGTTGTTGTCTGTCGTTGGTTTTGTTGCTTTAGTGTCATTGTGCATTTAGTTTACTAGTATAGTTTAATAACAACAACAACTGCAACAACAGCAACATTAACATAAAGAACAAGAGTAGCAGCAGCAGTAGCAAAAGTAGCAGCAGCAACAAAGCAGAGTGCAGTGTCATTCACGCGACAACAGACCTATAAAGAAGAAAAAATAAAAATAAAAACAAAATAAAAAAGAAGAATCAGACAGGAATTAAAAAAAACAACTACAACAACACACCAACAAAACTAAAATATATAATAACAGGTCAGTACAGATAAAATTTATTATTATTTATACTCGATATTTAAATAAACATTTTATTTTGTTTGTTTATTTATTTACTTATTTAGTGAATTTCGTATTTATTTTTCTTTTCTTTTTTATCTAATTTTGTTTATAAATCAATATAAAAGGTGTTTATGTGTTTTTGTTATGAATAAAATTTTAAAGTTTTTTAAACAAGTGAAAAAAGCTAAAATGACAAAATAAAACAATGAAAAAGGTGCCATGACCTATTATTCAATGTAGGAAACATTTTTGGGACAAACGTTTTGCATAAATTACTTTTACTATTGTCAGTTGGTCTGTCGGTTGCATGTTTTGTTGTTGTTATATATTGTCTCTCTTTGTCGTCTTCAACACTTACATCAGCATTGAAAACTTCGCATAATTGTCACACTGAGTGCAGTAGTCAGTTAGTAGTGACCAATTATTTCCCAGTGAGCAGTTTGATTTACTTATTGAATAGACGAACTGCACTAGATTTGTTTAGCTTTTATGGTATTTGTGATATTGTATTTACTATTCTAATTTAGTAAAAATGCAGGTGAAAAGTGTAAATTTTTATTAAGTTACGATATCGAAATATTGATCATGGAGTAAATACATATGTAGAAAAAATTTATTTTTTTGTCTTGTACCAACACTATGTTGAACTAGGAAAATAGGGAGGGGTATAGAGTGAGTAGTGTTTGGGGACATTTGTTTTAAATCTTCTTAAATCAATTTGCAGGGAATACTTCTGAAGAATGAATTCTCTCTGTAATGTGTTGTTCTGTCCACTGGACAGTCGACCACAAGTGACGAAAGTCAAGAAAAATAAACGGTTATCTGGAACACACTCCATTGTAATATCGATAGAACAGTGAACGTTGCGACCGATAAGAAACTTCGCCCTCTGTAAATAGTAAGGAGATTAGATGGAGTGAAGTAAGCCTTACAACGTTTCAAAATACCAAGGCACTTGAATGCTTTAGTCCACATCGCACTGTATTTTCGTGCCCATAACATCAAGAGTTTCTGATTCCTTTATATTTACATCACCCATAAATATAAATGAAACAACGTTAGCTGCCATGCGCTTATCGTTAAAATATTGTTAAAATCGGCTCTATTAATACGACCCCATTCAGAGATTGTTATCATGTCGCGATTTAGCGATTCATTCATATTTTGCTTCATTGCCCTAATCTCTAAAGGTCTTGGCCTTTAACTGAATGAATATGAATGGCAGATAGTGCTGTCATCGGCAAAAGAGTAGATAGAGTAGGAAGTTTGACATACGAATTCGTTTATGGAAATAAGAAATAGAGTAGGGGAAAGAACGGAGCCTTGCTGTACCCCTGAACTAATCTTGAACTCGTTTGTTGAGATCCCATATATAACAACTCGTATAGTGCTACATATCACTTTTCTTTCGCCAAAATGGTGAATGTAATGACACCATTTCTTCGAATGGAAGGCTAGCAGGTCTTCCTCCCGTAGAGCGACCTGTACGTAAGCCATTCTGGCGGTCGTTAAGTAAATTGTTGAACTCTACCATTTGGAACACCATACTTTCCATAACTTTAGAAAGTACAGAACAATTTGCTATTGGGCGATAATTTCACTTTTTAGGAATTGGCGTTACATTAGCAACCTTCAAAGCTGAATGCTGAAAAGATTAGCTAATGGACGAGCTAGCGTCGAAGGGCACTGCCATCTGGTCCAGGTGACATTAATGTTGAGATCAGTTAAAAACCTTTTAATGGCATGCGCTCGGAAGAATATACTTGGCACAGTTACTGATACTCCATCGAGCAGTGGTTGATCGCATTCCGAGTCAGTGAATGTTTGGTCGTCTTTTATACTTTTTACGAAGGACATAAAGGTTTTGCTGCCCCTAGGAACCGCAAGAACCTTATCACCTTATGTAAAGCTTTTTCGCGTCGAAGTACTCTGGCGCACAAACATTTTTTATTGTAAGAACCTGTCTGCCTTGCAAAAGAAATTCAAAATTCATCTTCCAAATATTAACAACTCACGATTGTTTAAATTTATATCTGTTAATTTTTTTCTTTTAGCATTTCATCATTTAATTCTCTTTTTAAAATGTTAAATACATGCATTATTTTTTATTATATTTTTTTGTCTGAATAGTGGTTGAAGGCAGACATGTCTTGTTTTTTTTTTGCTGTTGTTTCGTTTTTTATAATTTATTTAAAAATTTTGTGTTTTTGCTCTCCCAGTCTGTTTTAATCATAAAATACAAGTTTAAAGTTTTTTTTTGAAAATAAATATTTGCACATTTAAATAAATAAATAATAAATGGTGTGATAAATAAAAACAACAATTTAACTTTTTTCCTAAAAAATATAAACATTTAAAATCATAACTATTTTAAATTAAATACAATTTTTATGTAAATATTTTTTATCGTTGTCTTTTTTTGTAAAATTCATAATTTAATGAATAATTACTTTTTAACCGAGTATTTTTTCTTTGGTTTAAGTTTTTGCATGTAACTTTTTTCATTCAGTCGTTTTTATCATATTGACGCTGGCATTAGAGTCATCAAGTTAAAAATTGTATTTTAACTTAAATTAGTTCAATGAAGCAGCTAATCAGGGTCAAGCATACTTGACTAAACTTTATACAATTTTTGCGTTATTACTTTTTTATTCAATCTATTTCATATTTTTTCCACAATTTTTGTGATGAGACTTGACGCTGGATGAGTTTGAGTGTTTTTGAGTTTGTGTGTTGGTTGTGTTCCAGCAGTAGTAGTGTTACTTGCTGCTGGTGCTAAAGTGGCTTTTGAACTGAAATCAATTTTTAACTTAATTATGTAAAGTACATAAAATTAATTTTTATGAATTTATTTTTTTTTTTTTTTTTGCAATGAATATAAAATTGAATTGTCTATTTTGGCTAAATGCTTTTCGAAATATTTTACATATTAACGTTTTCATTTTAATGCTGAAAATAATGTAATAATTGTTCGAAAAGTGATGAAACGAAAAAAGAAGTATTTTGCAGACACATTTACTTAAACGTGGGTTTTTAGGAATAGTTTTACATACATACATAGGTACATAAGTGTGTGTTTAAACTTTTTAAGGTGATTTGAATTTCTATCTCGCTGAACAAGGTTACAAATTTAAAAAAATGATGATTGCGATTGAACTTCACAAGCATTTGCCTTTTGTTCAAAAATATATTATTCAAAAATATTATGAGTTTTTTTAAGTTTTAACCAACACTAGGGTGGTTACTTTTCATAGACAACTTCAATGTTTGATGCCTTTAGGAGCAATGTTTATCAAAACTTTCTCTATTTTCCCCTAGACGTTTTTTGCTCAAAATATTACATTGCACTATCACAAAAGATCTACTTAAATATTCTTTCCTGTTGTATGATTGCTTCAAGTGTGTATATTTGTTTGCCTGAACCACATAAATAAAATATGTTTGCGACAATAGATAAATAATAACCTAGTCCAACCAAATATTTTTTCTACGTCTCTGTTAATGTGCGCTAACTAAAATAAGAATAATAAGATTTAAAATATTGTAATAATAAAGAAAGTATAAATATAATGTATGCATTCTTAAAGTTAATTAAAACGAACTTTAAGCATTTCTTTCATTAAATCCATTGTAGAACTTTCTAATGCCCCATTGCCAGCCCAAACTATGTATTCTCATTTCTCATCATAATTTCATGTCTAATAAGAGGGTATTTAACTTAATTGTTGCATGTTGCTTTTGTTGTGTAAAAGTTCTACAATAAATGGAAACTCGTATAAAATGGAATTTGCGCCCCAGTAACATTTGCAAATTCGTGAAATAATTTACAATTGTTAACATAATTTCAAAGCATGTAGGTACATTGTACATAACTTGAGCATTAGTAATTTCTTTTGATTCTTTTTTAACAAAAAAATGCTTTCATTTTCATCAATACACATTTAGAATTATTAATTAACTTCTGCCTTAAATAAACAAATATTGACAACTGTCAGTGGATTACGTAGTTAAATAATATTTTGTGTCGCTATATACATAAATACATATGTACTTATACTTGTTTCTTTTTGAGATTTTTGTATGTTTGAATATAGTGAAAGTATTTCGCAATTTATTATACATATTTTTCAGTTCATGTGTGTGTGTAAAAAATAGTAGTGTCAGTTGTTATAACATCGCTTAAGTAAGTTAAATTAAAACTTATTAAATTTTATATTTATTTAATGGAATACCATTTCAAAAACCCACCATTGCGTTGTCGTTGTCTCTTTTATTGCCGCCACAGTTCCGCTGTTTGTTTATTGTTTGTTAACATGAAATTCTTAAAGGGGATTTATAGATCTCCCTCTTTCCCTAACGCCGCTAAGCTCCACCATCAACCATTTTTTAATTATCAACACAAAAATATATTTTTCCATTTAAAGAAACTTTTTCTGTGCGTTTGTGTAGACATTTCCATTTGGTTTTGCCTTATGCCAAAAACGTGAGAATTTTTTACTTTTAGTTATTAATTCTTCTAAAGAAAAGTTAAATAATAAGTTTATTATAAAAAAGGCGAAAAAGAAAAAAAAGCAACTTCTAATCCAAAGAATAATATTATGAATTAAATTAACATTTACATTTTATTTAAGGCGCGATTTAATACTTTGCCTTTACCTTATTTTTAAAATTATAATTATAACTTGGAAATATAATGAGCGAACGTTGGAGGCAAATTACAGTTGGTGCTACAGGCTGTAAGCGTAAATAAAACAAAAAATTCTTTGCTGTAAATTGTGGCTTTGGGGCTGTAAGTGTAGATTAATATCTTGAGGTTTTGTTTCCTAGTACATATAATTTTGAAATGCTATGACATACTGTGAATAATATTCTTTAAATAAATTTTAAATAGAACTTTCTATAATTTATTATAAATCTTAATACTATTTATTAGTAGTCATCGCTTAGCGATTCTGTTGTATTTGTGGATTATTTCA